AGCCACTGAGAATACATAAACAGAGGAGCATGGCTGTGTTCCAATAAAACTTTATTTATGGACACCTAAATTTGAATTTTACATAATTTGCATGGGTCACAAAATATTAATCTTTTAAAATTCTTTTTCAACCATTTAAAAGTGTACAAACCATTCTTAGATTGCAGGCTATACCAAAACTGGCACCCGTGGGCCACAGTTTGCTGACCCCTGACCTGGAAGAATACTGGTATAAGAAGCACAATCCAAACTCAAAGGAAGGCTCAAAACCTTCTGGCTTCTAAGAGAAGGAGCTAGGACATAGGTCTGCTGAAAACAAGTACACAATTTGTCATATTACTAAGGGATGGTAAACCAAAAAACCAAACCCATTGCCATTGAGTCAATTCCAACTCATAGCAACCTTGTAAGACCGAGTAGAACTGCCCCGTAGGGTTTCCAAGAAGCGGCTGGTGGATTTGAACTGCCAACCTTTTAGTTAGCAGCCAATCTCTTAACCACTTCACCACCAGGGCTAGTAGTAGGAGTATAAAAAACGATCATATTGAAGTAAACTTTTCCTTTGTGCACTTCCTCTAAAGTGATTTTTCTGTATCTCTTCTTTCAGTTAGAGTTGAAAGGTCTCAAGGGTATGAAGTCTGTACGGAAAAAAGTCTAGGAAGTTATTGGCGTGCTTTTAGTGATGGCCTTAGGCCAGAGGCACAAAGACAGTCTTTGTTGCTTCCATGACAGTGTCCACAAAAACTAAAGATTCCACACAGGGGTTTGGATCCAAAGCTTCATTGTATTTTTATATACAGTAATATGTAGTGATTTTTCTCTGTGTGTCTCCCTATAGACCTATGACTACAATAGGTTGAGTACTTAATGTCCTGCTCCCTGCCCATCTCCTTCTGCCAACTATGCTAGGCAACTAAGGGAAATACTGATATAGAAAAATATAATAAAAAAATATATATAGAAAGTGAAACCCAGATCCCCATCTCCACCAAGAATTTTCTAGGGATTTATTTTGAGGAAGGACAAGCATGGGCAAAAGAATACTTCATTATTAGCTGGCTCTTTAAGCCTGTTCTGGTTATCTATTGCTGCATGACAAACCACCCCAAAACTTAATGGCCTAAAATAACAAACATTTATTTTCCTTATGACCTGCAATTTGGGCTGGGTTCAGTGCGAATAGCTCATCTTTGCTCTACATGGCATCAGCTAGGGCAGCTCAACTGGGAGCTGGAGGATTCACTTCCAACATGGCTAATTCACGTGGTTGGCAATTTCATGCTGGTTGTTGGCTGGGAATTCAGCCAGAACTATACACTGGGTTGTTTAGGCTTTCACTCACAGCATGATGGCTTGGTTCTAAGAGTGAGCATCCCAAGAGATGCGGAGTGGAAGCTGCCAATTTTTAAGGCCTGAGCCCAGGAACTGCCATAGCAACACTTCCACCATTCTTTCAGTCAACCAGGCGCAGAGCCCAGATTCAAAGAGAGGATACATAAACACTACCTCTTGATAAGAAGGGTGTCAAAGAATTTTGAAGCTATGATCTACTGCCACAGGATGCTAACCTCCTTTGTAGAGCCTTAGCCTTAGTAAGTTAAGCTGGATCACATAGAGTTTAGAGAACTCTCTTGTTTAATAAAAGCAGGCCTAGATGACCTTCCTTTCCTGAGATTCCTCCCTGGTTGAAGGCCACCCTAGGCCAACTACATGGGAGCACTCAAGAAGAGAAACAAGCTAAGGTAGTCAGGATCTCCAAGCAACTTCTGGCCTATCTTACCATACCAGACAGTCACATAGAGCCAACCCGAGGAGGCCAGAATTCATGAGAGAAGCCATAATACACTGATGCTTGAACATTTAAGCCCCCTGCTTGTCCACAGTGAAAGGTCTACCTCTTAGCAGCCTAATCCTGTTTTTCCCCCAGAGAATCCATTTTGTCTTAGCCATATATCAGTGCTCCTCGTCCATGAAGGTGGCAGAGAAGCACTGAGTTCCCATCTAGATCCAAACAACCTGACCCTCAATGATGGTATGTTTCAATAAATCTGTACTGAATAAATGGATGGCAGCTAGTCAGAGGGTCATTCCCTGGCTGAACCCATAGATTGAGTACATAGATTAAATAATTTGGCAAATATCTATTAAATATCCACTATTTGCCAGGTACTTCATTTATATTACTGTTTTTCTGGATGCTATTCAAACTATTTAATAACCAGTGCAATAAGAACAGATATGTAGAGCTGGAACAGGATTTGCCCCCCACCTTTGCTATGCAAGGCATCAACCCTCTAATTCCTGGGCCATAGGGAGATCCAGTGTGTCCCAAGAGAGGGGAGGGCAGCCCTCCAAGTGCTCAGGGGAATATCTATTTACCAACCCTTATAGGAATATTTCAGTATTTTAACCACCAGTACAATATTATGAGTTATATACTGGCTAAACATCAGCCTTGCCTTATAAAATCCTCATAATACTATGAATTAGTACTATCACTTTATAGATGGAGAAAAAGTCAGAAAGTGGAAGTATTTTGTTCAAGGCCACAAAGGCAGTAAATAGCAAAATCAAATTCAAACTCAGTATGTATGGCTTCAAAATTTGCAACCTTTCTATATAATACTGACTCTGTATGAGATAAAATAGTCCATACTCACAGAATCCCTTCAAACTAAGTTATCTTAAATGGAGATAGTCTGAAAGCATTCCCCTTGAGAATGGGAACCAGACAAGGATGCCCTTTATCACCACTCTTATTCAACATTGTGCTGGAGGTCCTAGCCAGAGCAATTAGGCTAGAAGAAGAAATAAAGGACATCCAAATTGGTAAGGAAGAAGTAAAAGTATCTCTGTTTGCAGATGATATGATCTTATACACAGAAGACCCCAAAGAATCCTCAAGAAAACTACTGGAACTAATAGAAGATTTCAGCAGAGTATCAGGATATAAGGTAAACATACAAACATCAGTTGGATTTCCCAGCACCAACCCAGAGAACTTTGAAGAAGAAATCACCAAATCAATACCATTTAAAATAGCTCCCAAGAAGATAAAATACTTAGGAATAAATCTAACCAGAGATGAAAAAGACCTATACAAAGAAAACTACAAGACACTACTGCAAGAAACCAAAAGAGACCTACATAAGTGGAAAAACATACCTTGCTCATGGATAGGAAGACTCAACATTATGAAAATGTCTGTTCTACCCAAAGCAATCTACAGATACAATACAATCCCAATTCCAAATTCCAATGGCATTTTTTAATGAGATGGAGAAACAAATCACCAACTTCATATGGAAAGGGAAGAGGCCCTGGATAAGTAAAGGATTAATCAAGAAGAAGAACAAAGTGGG